TATAGATATATGATTTACATGTTTTTTACTCTAACATGATCCTACAAGTTTCAATCTATACATCTCTCTTGAAAAACTTTCCTTGTTTATCTCCCAGCGAACTGTATGAACCTGGCTGCCCTTCTGAAAGCACGCCCCGACCCTCACAACCACCCCTAAGGGGTGTTTTGAATCATCACCATGACAACCGGACGTGCAACGGGACAGCTGGATATGACCCAGACTGAGAAGATCCCCTGGAGCAACATCAGGTATTTTTCTGGATCGCATGTTTGATGAACGTGAGAGCTGCACTGCAACACCCTGACGAATGAACTCAAATGGAGGTCGAGAAGAGATTCAAATGCATAGCTGGGACGTGGAGGTGTACCTAATGTTGTGGCCATCGAGTGGAAGATCTTTTTGAGTGCGCCGTGACTTGAGAGGACATGAGCCTAAAGCAGAGCCTCTTAATGTTGTTAGTCTTGCTAAGTGAAAATGTCTGCTGTGGAAAAACAGAGCAATCCATCAGCCTCAATAGATCCATTGCACTCTTTGGTTTCCTTCTTTGGACTTGCTGCTTTTTTAGGGGACTTGTTGCCTTCACTTTTGTCTTTATTATTTATTCCCTGCTTATTAGTGAGAGTGGTTGTCCTCGTGTCGTCATCTTAGGTTTCTTTTTTGACCTATTTTGGGGCTACATTGCCTTCAATTTTGTCTCCAATATTGACTGTGGCCTTGTTTCTTTTCTGCTTGTTGGTGGGGGCGGGCTCGACTTTTGTCTTCATTGCCTGCTGGTTTGTGGCTCCTCTTATTTTTATGTGTCCTCAGTATTATTCGAGTGGGTATTGATCCCTTGACTTTGGTCTTCAGTGTTGTGCATTTTTTTTTCATTCGCTTTCATCTTCAATCTTTTTTTTCTGCTTATTTGTGGACCTTGTTGTCTTCACTTTGGTCCTTTTGATCCGAATGTTTTTTTCTGTTTTCACTTTTGTATTTGGTAAGTTGAAATCTTGCTCTCTTGGGTTGAGATCAGGAGACTAATTTGGGCGTTGAGTGACCTTACCTTCTCAAAGTCCTTTTTGTGGGCCTTTTTTAAAAACATTTTTACACCTTCGTCTTCAGTATTGTTTGTGTATCTTCTTTGTTGACTTCACATCTGTCTTGTCCTGTTTATGGGTCTAAGGATGCTCTCTTGGCTTAAGATCAGAAGACTGACTTGGGCATTGAAGAACATTCCATTTTTGTGCCTTCTTAAAGTTCCGCAATGCTTTCACAATATGTTGATAGTCAATATCCGTATGTGTTGTCGTTTTTGTAGCAGTCACATCATCAATTCACAGCCCCCTTGCATGAGCATCCCTCCATATTTGTCGTGACCTATACTACTATTCGAGAGTATTTTGTGGCCAAATCTTTCCAGATGGAGCCCCAGACTAGTAACAAAATACTAGTAAGTGTTCAACTTGCCCTTTTGCACACACCTGTTGGCAGATATGAGCTGTCACCTAAAATACTCAACAAAACAAAGCGATAAATCACACATCCACTTTGTTTGTGGTTCCCTCCCAAAATAAACAACCTCTCCCCAAAGCTCCACATGATGGCCATCCAGTCGTCCAGCCCCCGTAAGCCCACCTCTCTTTCTCACTCGGACGTTTATTTTTAGCCTTCAAACAACTGCGCTCCTAAAAATGGGCTTAGCCCGCACAGGCGGAGGTGGAGCGCTGCTATGTATGGCTTTCCTTCTTTTCGGTCAGCCCTCGATCAGCCCCTTTCACATGCCGGACCGTGCGCTCCTCTGTCGAGGCGCGAAGGAGCGAGAGGAGAAGGCTGAAGTATAGGATGCACGGAAAAGTGGAACTTTTGGGGAGAAGTCGCGACCACTGATGGACATTTTTCAAGAACCTTCACACTTCCTCTCGTAACCTCTCTCAGGGCCTGCGTGACCTTTGCAACCAACAACTCAAAGCGCACTTCTGGGACTTTTTGGAGCTTGAGGACGCCGTAGCTGAGAAGCATGCTCTCTCTCTGGTTGTTCCTGCTCCCGTGCCTGGGCCTGGTGTCCGTGGCCACGACCGAGAAGGGTCTGGAGTTTCCGCAGTATGACGGCAAAGACCGCGTTCTCGACATCAATGACAAGAACTACAAGAAGGCCTTGAAGCAGTACAACATGCTGTGCCTGTTCTACCACGAGCCCGTGGCAGACGGCAAGGAGCAGCAGAAACAGCACCAGATGACCGAGCTTGTGCTGGAGGTTCGAAGAACGAAGCGTGATGGGAGATACGGTCCATTGAATTAAACCGAAATAGAAGACTTCAGTCTTGCACATTAGGAATTAGTCATGGTGTTTCTCACCATTACTGATGGAATGCGTTGCAAATCAAGAGGCTGCACAGCAGTTTAAGGGGAATGGAGTTGCTTATCATGCAACAATCAAATGGAAAATTCAAATTGTAATACAGACCGTCTACTCAATTATTTATTTTCAAGAACACGCTGACACCTGAAAGCCACATTGGTTCTTTGGGAGGAGGGGGTCAAGTTGCAGCAAGGTTCAAACAGGCCACTAGATGGCGCTCTACCAATGTCATGAGCTTTACATTCACAATGCGGAAGCTCACTGACAACGTCATTTTATTTATTGATTCATTTATTTGATTTTATTGTACCTGTATTTCATTTTACTTAGATTTCACTTCTGTAAGTCTAAATAATTTATGGCTTTGTTTCATTTCATTTAACTTATTTAATTTAATTGTGTTTAATTTCGTTGACATTTGTTTATTTTTCTTTCTATTTGATTTTATTTAATTCACTCAAAATTGCTTACATTAGAGTTCAGCATGTATTTAAACGATATGAACATGTCATGTTATTACATGTTACTTAGTTTAACTGAATTTAATTAGATTTAAATTAAATGTTATTTTCTTTTGTTACGCTATTTTCAAATTTGTTGGAACTCCTGTCTTAGGCTAGAGTACATAAAAAAGGCGATTTAATTTTACTTAGTTTAATAATTATTAGATTTAATGTAATTCTTTTTTTAATCGACTTTATGTGCATTTTATTTCTGAAGTCTTCGAGCAGGGCTCACCATCATGGCAGCCTGCAAGGATCGCATAAGAGAGCCCCTTCTAAAAACACTGCTGGGACATTGTGACTTCCTGGGAAAATTTGAAGTGATCACCCGCAGAAATTTATGAAAAGTCAAGTGTTGCACATTGATGTTTATCTGTTCCCAACCTTGTTAAGATAAATTACATCGATAAATATCATTGTGCATTACCTCGAATTGAATGCATTTGAGAAAATTGATTTCAGAAATGTGTAACAAGCTGGTAAACCCCTTGGATTAATCAATACTGAGGAAGTATCTTTCAGTTTCAAAAAGTACAATAATATATTTTGACAATGTACCCAAATTTCACAATGAAAGGGGTAAAAAAAAAAAAAACTCCACTCGATAATTAGCAATTTTTTTTTACATTTATTAAATCTCAGTTATTGACTGTAGTAATTTGTCAGTCTGCATTCAAGCTTCAAAAAATACTTGATTGTATTAGTTATGTTTTTATGAGTTATGTTATCATCTAATTAATTTTGCTTTTCACTATACACACACATTTTCTCCTTTTATTCTATTTTATTGATTTTGGTTTGGATATAATTTTTTTCGACATATTATTTATGAATATTATTTCTAGCATTCATATTTATTCTATATTCATTGTGTTCCGTATTTTTTTATGTACTTGATATATTTTTCATACACCCTAAGGAGTTTAATATTTGTGTTCTCTATTTTATATTTTGTGTTCTCTATTTTATATATATATATATATATATATATATATCCCTAACGCCATTTGTAAAACGAGAAACACAACACATAAAAATGCAAATGAGAATGCATGCGCAGAGTAGCTCGTAAAAATGAATTACCCCCTTTCAGTGATACACCTCTGCCAAGAATACACGGTTGACCTCGCACTTTGAAGGAATCTCTCGTCAGTTATTAAATGTTCCCAAGCTATGGCACCGAATGGCACAACAAAAGTCAAACTTTCAGGTCATTTTTGCACATATGTGAGGACAAATGCATGGGACAAAATGTCTTTTTTTTTAATTTAAATTTCCAATTCAAGATCATTCACCACACAGGATACAGTGCACAGTTTCAAATCAATCTCCTTTTGTATCACACACTGTTGGAAACAATGTGCACAATGCATCTCATGTTACACTCAGAACAGTCCGGACCCTCTCGTTTCACGTTGACTTTAATCCTATGCCAGCAATGCGCACTTGATATTCGTGAGTGTACTTAACCACTATAAAAAAAAAAAAAAAAAAAATGTCATTTAACCCTTTCAGGGACAGCGGTTACTACAGTGGACAGCTGATCAGGTTATCAGGTTTCAGGGTGCATGAAAGGGTTAAGTTGGCAAAACTTAAAACATAATTTATCAACATTTATGGCAGCAGTGTTAGTTAGCACAACAAAGCAAGCAAGTCGTCTATTCCAAAACGATTTGCTCAGAGTTTTTTTTACTGATATCTTTAATTTGGTGGTTCAATACAAGGGACAACAGTTCTGTAAACACTCTGGACGGTCTTTTTTTTATTTTTTTATTTTTTTTATGAAATACCGGAAAGCCAACTGTCACAAATGATTGAGGGACATAAGTGCAGCCCGACTCTACCTCCGTTTGTGATCCAAAAGCATTGTGAGCCAAATATAAATTGCCGTGTCAGAGCGGGATCATTCACATCGGAACAACTGCCACACTCTTACTTTTGTGCTATTTTTAGAGCAATCTGGCTAATTATGTAACTATGTCTCCGTGCCCTCCAGGGCACAATAATCTCCCCTTCATCTTCCCACTAAGTGGCTGCACCAAGTCATTAAAAGACCATGAAATGACATTTAAAGTTCATCTCATGCCTTTTTTTTTTTTTTTTTTTTTTTTTGCTTCTGTTAAACGTGCAGCTCGTGGCCCAGGTCATGGAGGAGAAAGACGTCGGCTTTGGAATGGTCGACTCCCAAAAAGACGCCAAGGTGTCAAAGAAACTAGGCGAGTACACAACATTTCAAGATGTGATGTTGGTAAATGTGAAATGAAGTCCACTTTATCTAATAACCATTAAACCCAAAAAATTCTCCCCAACATGCTGATAAACATTCGATACATAGAAAACGTATTGGAGGCCCCAAAAATATTTTTAAATATTGTGAAAAAAAAAGGAGAAAAAAAAACCCATGACCGTGTATGCTGGCGAATATTATAATTATATTTTCGTGCTTTTGGACTTAATGAACACATTGCGCCACTTTCAATCATTTAATGTCATTACATTTGTTGAAAAAAGTAAATTTTATTATATATAATATTACTTAATTGTATTTGCGTTCTGCAAGTGGCGGGCAACCAGTTCAGGGTGCACCCCACCCGTTGCTCGAAGACAGCTGGAATAGACTCCAGCACGGATATATTTCCGATAAATATACTGTATATTTTTTTGTCAGTTCTGTAAATCTTTGAGAGTATGTGAACAAGTCATCTGTTCTAATTTTGTTTCATTTAATGAGATTTTCTTTTGATCGATTTTATTTCCGTTTGCTCCGTCAGGCCTGGAGGAGGAAGGCAGCGTGTACGTGTTCAAGGCCGATCGTGTGATTGAGTTTGACGGCTGGCTTTCTGCAGGCACCCTGGTGGAGTTCTTGCTCGACGTGAGTTCAACCACTCACAAGCCCTAATTTCAAACTAGAATTTCAGACCCTGTCCCCATCTTGAAACCCTATTTTAAAACCATGACCCTGACTTGAAAAACTCATTTGAAACCCCGACTCTGGCTTGATAGTCTATTTTGAAAGCCTAACCATGGCAATATTTGTCTGCAGCTATTGGAGGAGCCTGTGGAAGTGATAGACAACGCTCTGGAGCTGAGGGCCTTCGACAGGATGGAGGAGGACATCCGTGTCATCGGTTACTTCAAGGGCGAGGACTCAGAGCGTAAGGGACAAGAATGAGAAGTTATGCTTTTATATTTAAAAAAAAAAAAACCACAGGTGAAGATGTCGCCTTTGTTCATAGGGCTCAATCTTAATCCGCCCAAATTCGAATGAAAAATGAAAGCGACAACGTTACAACATGCAAGCTTGGCCCATAGCTATACAACAGCCATAACTTTGTCTAATAGAAGAAAGCTCTTTGCTGCCATCATGTGGCATCTCTGTGCAATTACCAACCTTTTGGGTTGGCATGAAATACACTATAAAAAAACACATGTATTTTTGGGCCAATCACAGTATTTTAACCCTTTCATGCACCCTGTAACCTGAAAACATGATAAGATGTCCACTGTAGTAACCGCTGTCCACGAAAGGGTGGAAAAACTACAAAATATAAATTATTGATATTATGACAACAATGTTAGTTTAGCACAACACAGCAAGCAGTTCTTTACCCCAGAATGATTTGCTGGGTTGTTTTTACTTAAATATCTTAGAAATGGAGTTCAATACAGGGGTCTGGTCCTGTAAGCTCTTACTTCTTTTTTCTGAAGAGCAAATTTTCACAGCAGGAAAATTTAAAACATTTAGTTGAATTGCCCAACTTAAAGTTTTATCCAAGTTTGTTGCCTTGAAATTTTGAGTTCACACACTTTTTTTTTTGAAACAGTGTACTAGTGGATACACTGTCCTACAACCAGAGCCCAAATAGGAATATGAGAAAAACATTTTCACACTGCAATATCACTCGAAACACATCTTTGGAATAAATATAAAATGTGTACTTGAAGGAAATAAAAGATTAGAATTTGTTAAATCTGCTGTGGATCATGGTGGTCACCCCCGTCCCCAAAAAAACAGATTTTGTGTTTGGTGTATTTGACCGTCCAAAGTAATTTTGCCCATTCTACATTTTTCTTTGATGAGTGGATGCCCCCCCTCTCAGGTAGAACTCCATTGCCTGTCACTGACCACGATAGTGTCTTGGTACCTCTGTGTCTCCTATCTGCTTTCAATTAAAGGAACCCCGTGCTACCTCATCAGTGCAATTTTGCCGCCTCATCTCAGTGGATTTGCGGCTCCATTTTTATCCCGTCTGCACAGCGCAGCTGCTGTCACATCCGTGACCCATAACCGACCATGTGTGGGAGCAAAAAAGCGCTGTTCAAAGTTCATCTATTTCCGACCGGGCGACGTGCAAATGTCACACGTGTGATAGAGGAGGAGGCTGGTGCGATAACTCTCCTCTCGTATCTTTAGATTACGATGCCTTCAAGGAGGCTGCCGAGCACTTTCAACCCTACATCAAGTTCTTTGCCACCTTTGACAAATCTGTGAGTGAGCGCCCAAGTATTCCGTCACCAGTGTGGTGTACGTAGCGTGACATGTTCTAACTGTATTCGTCACTTCAGGTGGCCAAAGAGTTGACCCTGAAGCTGAACGAGGTGAACTTCTATGAGCCCTTCATGGAGGAGCCCGTAACCATCCCGGGAAAACCTCACTCCGAGGACGACCTGGTCAACTTCATCAATGAGCATAGACGGTAAACAAACAGGAAGTGACTCCTAATCATTAATTTTACATGTTTGGCTTGATTGGGAGTAATCAATTAGTTTAGCTTGGTCAAACGTATAAGAGCTGAAAACTGCACGTCTTTATTGATAGATTTCGCTTTTCTGGCAACATTGTCAACACGCAAGTATGATGGGTCCAACGAGATACAGCGTGTGCAATTTACTGCTGGACAATAGACACACATTAGACGAGGAGGACACAAAGAAAATCAATGCAGAGCAAAAGTGTCCAAAGGCGCAACCAGAAACAGCAAACCAGATGCACACTGGCATATCATTTCACTTTTTTTTTTTTTTTTTTGCAAAAAGTGTACCTACGCAAGTTTTGTCGAGCCAATGGTGTGGTCAAGGAGGGGCAGACATGCATGGGTGTGCAGTGAACATTTCGGCGAAGAGGAGTCATTTTCCAGTTGGAGATGGGACATGTCATGCGGGTGACATTAAAAACCAATGCTGTGTCGAGTATTTTTAATGAGCAAGAGGAGGGAGATGAGCTTAATTGTCCGAATGAGGATCTGTGATGCCTCTCCAACCACCGCCACCCGCAGCGCGGGCGGCAACGTGTTGGTCGTTATCAAGTCAAGTTATGTCCATAATGCGAGTGGAGTCCAATCTATCTATCTATCTATCTATCTATCTGAAATGTGCTTTTCATGATGTTGTATCGTCACTCAGTGTTGTTTTTGTGTCTTCAGGCCCACTTTGAGAAAGCTGCGTGCAGAGGATATGTTTGAGACCTGGGTAAGCCTCTATGAAAAGCAAACTTGATCAATAACTTTTTACAACACCGCATTCCTCTCTGCTCTTTCTTGACATGTTGGGTTTGTTTTCAGGAGGATGACATTGAGGGCATCCACATTGTGGCTTTTGCAGAGGAGGAGGACCCGGGTAAGCAAGACCTTGTCTGAAGCACCTATCATGTCCTTCAGCAACAGGGTCACACTCAGGACCCGAAGGCAAGCGCCGACCATCTACATTAGTTCATGTATTTTGTTTTATGTGTTCCTTGACTCTTTTCAAACCTAGTTATATATCCATCCATCCATCCATCCATTTTGGAATTTGCTTATCCTCACGAGGGTTGCGAGCATGCTGGAGCCTATCCCAGCTGTCTCTGGGCAGTAGGCGGGGGACACCCTGAACCGGTTGCCAGCCAATCGCAGGGCGCTTAGTTATATTATAATCGGATATTCAAATGCAGGGCCAATTACATAATATGATCAGCCAATTGTTTGGAACAGTACATTGTATTCAAATTTTTTTGGTCTGAATCTGCCACAGAGTGACAGAGATGGCCACCCCTGGCCACCACTTAGCTCCGCTCCCGCGTACAGGATAGTGCAACTACCCTTCGGCTAGTTTAAGAAAGTATGTTGTGTGCCAATCGCAGGGCACACAGACGAACAACCATCTGCGCTCACAATGCGCTCTATGTACAGCTCTCTCAGAGGACAACAAATTTGACACCTCTGCCCCACAGTAACAAATAGTATTGAAAAACATTTCAGCTTTTGCTGTTGCGCAATGAGAATTTGATGGCTTGCTGCCATTACTCTGAAAAGGCTTCCTGTTTGGACAAACAAGGGGACAAATGCAGATGTTCATCGTTTGTGGCCTCGGGCCCCTTGAGCATTCTGGTTTTTGTGGAAGTGGTATACTTGGTCAAAAAATAGTTATCAAAGTGTCTGATGTGGTTTTCCAATGAGAACCAATGTGTCTCCAAATGTTTTATTTCTGTATAATTGAAGGGAATTAAAAAAAAAAAAAAAAAAGAAATGCTATAATTCATCAACCTGATTTATCTCCCGCATCTGCTGCCTGATACATTGATGGATTCACTTTTAATGGTTAGGCTGCATTTATTCCATCATGTTGTGTTTTATGGCTCTGGCACTGTCGATAACAGTCCTACTCTACTGGCGGGTCACAGAACCATTTTGGTTGTAAAAACTTGTCGGAATCACGTTGGTCTTGTTCACTCCCACAATGGCACAAACGACTGTTTGTACCAACACCTGTCTACGAAAATGACAATAGAAAGAAAACTCCACCCACGCGCACAATGAGACTGAATTTTGCTCTTGACTTGCGCAGGGCATGAAAACATGGCGTTGAATTTTCACAATTTTGATGGTTGGCATCAAAGAGCATTTCAAGAAAAGTAATGAGCATCAACTATCTCATCTTTTTGTGCTGTTATCGGATCGGAGATTTCTGGAGACTCTGAGATGTCCGCCCATCTGCGTCCAGACTGCAAATGAGTACGGCCACTGGATGATTTTGTCTTTGTTCTTTCTCACAGACGGTTTCGAGTTCTTGGAAATCCTGAAGGAGGTCGCCCGAGACAACACACACCTGCCTGAGCTTAGCATCGTGTGGATTGACCCTGATGACTTTCCCTTGGTGAGCACTCATACATTTTCCATGCCAACAACAATTGGAAGATCATTTCAATCAAAAACTTGAATGCCTCTAGTTGATCCCCTACTGGGAGAAGACCTTCAAGGTGGATCTGTTCAGACCGCAGATTGGAATCGTCAATGTGACAGATGTGAGTCCATCAAGACATGACGTGTGTGAGCATGTGACATCATCAAGTAATACTGTGTGAGCGTGCGTGCGTGTAGGCTGACAGCGTGTGGATGCTGATGGAGGAGGAGGAAGATCTGCCCTCGGCTCAGGAGCTGGAGGACTGGATTGAAGACGTCCTCTCTGGAAAAGTCAACACCGAGGATGATGATGATGATGATGACGATGATGACGACGATGACGACGACGACGACGATGATGATGATGATGAGGATTAGTGATATGCATCTTTGAAGCAGTCATTTCTCATAACCCCAACATCAGCAATGCCATTTCAGAACAGGTGACCAGGTATGGTATGTTATGTGCATTTAAGGAGCATCCATATATTTTTAATACAGTAAATTGACTTGGTAGAGGTTTTGTGATTGGCAGTTCACACATCCGTCACATTGATCATGAAAGTCATGCATAAAATCCATCTGTTAATCGACACACGGTAAAACAAGCAAACTGGGTGTTACCTCTATCTGCACTCACTGGTAATAAACCAACCTGGGTGCTTCGTGTCTATTTGTCTTCTCTCTGCATTTTCTTTGCGCAGTATTTTAATATTTCATATTCACGATATTTACTTTAATATTCTCTTCATTAGGTACACCTGCACAATGTAACAAAGTACATTAAATCAGTGAGCAAATAAATAAATAATTACAAGTTCCAAGAGTGTGTAAAAAAACTGAAATGAATGAAGTTCAAAATATGCTACATTTGCATTTTCCAACGTAGATTGGATCCATTTTGGATCAAGTCAGGGATTTTGATGGACTGCCGCAACCACAAAAACAAAATAGGGTTGAGTTTCTCTCCTGTGTCACATTCTGCACTTGACCAGCTTTCAATATGACCCATTACACTCAAAATTCACCCTTCTCAAGAAATTTTAATATTACATAAGTAGCTATCAAAAAAATATTTTTAATATACACAGTTGGCCTTTTAAAAAGTATTTTTTAAACGTTTAATGTCGAAATGGACGTGCATATTATCGTTAAACAACAGCAATTTCTACAAATGAATGTCTTATAAACGGAATATCGAAATTAAATGCAATTCTGGAAAATATCAGTACAAATATTTTTTATTTAAGTCATTTTTTTTTTAACAAATGTAACTTGGACACAGCTCGTGTGACTTTGTGTTCAGTAGTACAAAAGAGGCTTCATAACAAATGCATAACACACACATACAGTACACACGTACACAATTTGAGAATAAATGTTTAGGTCAAGACAAAGTATGTACAGTCATCAACATTATAAAACACTAAACTACATCGGTGACAACAGTACGTAACAGTGAGTTGCCAATTTCAAATTTAAAAATGCACATTTTCCCCTCACAAGTGAATGTAGTTTGACATGTGCAGGTTGTAAAAATGGTCAATAGGTGGCAGCAGTGAGACACCCATGCTGACGACTCGTGACCCAAACATTGCACTACTGAATTAGAGCAATAACGCTTACCGTAAAAAAAAAAATAAAAACAACCAAAAAACGTTACTTTTGTTTTTTTTAGAAATGTTCCCTGTAATCGCTGACTATTCATATATAATATGTTCAGTCTCATGCTGCTGAGAAGTGCTGTAATACTTTTAGATATAAAAAAATGTAATAAAAAAACAGCATAGTACACACTCAGATATGAAACATCGACTGTGGTGATTCCAGTGTTTGATGATATCACATACAAATTCACAATCGTTTTACTGCACAAAAAAAAAAAAATCCAAGCAGTGCACAGTTTTAATATAAAAAGTATGCAGGGAATAATGCACATTCACATATAAATACTGTACAGACTGTTTACCAACAGCTACATCATTCAAAACTAGCAGTCTTCTTTTTGTTATTTTTCCAGCTACGCATTTGGCAAATGTCTCCCATAAAAACACATTTTTGCATCCTAAAAAGTCACCCACTCGTCCACATGCAAAAAGTCTTTTAGTAGTGCATACAGGATGTCAAGATAGAAAATCCATGTATCTTCCTGTCGGATTATGTCAGCAAAAGATGAAAAAAACAAAAAGCCTTCTTGAGAAGGTAAATGCAGTAATTGTAAGAGTCCTGTAGGTCCAGAGGAACAAACGGCCGTTACACTGAAGTTTCCGACTGGAGCAGAAGCACAAACTTGTGCGATTTTGGGTCGACGTACTCCTCACTCACTCGGATGTACGGGATGCTCTTGATGGTGACGGCGACATTGAAGTCGAGGCACCTGAGCACAAAGTCGCTGCCGTCCTTGACGCCGCTCGTTACCGATGCCTCGCTCACCAGCGTCCACTGGTCGGCCATCCAGCGCTCGGGGCCGTACTGCAGGGTGGGGCCAGGGGATAGGTACGTCTCCAGGAAGGCCTGGTGACAAGAAACCAAACAAAACATACACTTTATGTCATGTTTTGAAACTATGGCGTCAATAAGTGACTATTACGGGCTATTTTTTGGAGTTTGATCAGGTTATAGTGGTCATTGAGCAGGCAGCGTGAGGGGGATGCTCTCACAATGGAGCTGACGTCACATCCGTCTGTCACTGATTGATGGGCGGCCTGGACACTAGAATGTTGTGCCCCACCTATTGCATTGAATTGGAGCTACTGTGCCTGATTCAAAACCAATAGAACCAACTTTACCTTGGGGCTCATGTTATTGATGAGACAGAAGGCCAGGTGCTTCTGGATGCTCTCCATGCTGTGACACTGCTGCCTCCTGGTGGTGCGGAGGTATTTCTGCAGGGCACGGGCCATGGAGGGGAAAATGGCCAGAGCCGCTTCCCGCACATCCATGATGTCTGAAGGCGTGGCGCGCTCGTCCTCCTTCTTCATGCGCCGCACGTGCGTAAAAGCCTCCTCCACCGCCACCACCAACCTGACCAAGGAAGTCAATACTGGGATTACAGTGGTCTCTAGAGATACAAGTTTAATTTGTTATGGAAGTGAGGAAAATAGCACTCTATAACATTGTTCTTCATAAAAAGCAGAGTAATTATATCATTACAATAAATGCAAAGAATAAAATAACGTGTGCATCGTGAGTGAATTCTTCAATTCAATTCATTGTGTTGCTCCTTCTGGTGTGCTCGCCTTTGCCAGTAGGGGGAGTGCAGTAGCACAGAAACAGATGTCACCACGACGCTTCGTGATTCAGTAAAATGCAGACATATTCTGCATTTTTTGCGGAGGATAAAGAATGTATGACTGTGGGTATTGTAGTGTCTGTCTATGGGTGTTGCCCTACTGTTTGTGTTCAAATATCCATTGCTTAAAGCGGGAACGGGCCACCGGCCCAATGGGATGGGTAAAACTGCAAAATATTTTTTTTCTATGGTCTCCCTTTATTTTTCACCGATGGTGGGTGGGAGAGGAATTTATAAAAAGCAAGTTCACTGCATTTCATGACAATGCCGCCTTTGGCTTACCTGGCTTTCCGTTTGCGTACTCGTCTCTCGTAGTCGGCCTCCTCGTAGTACAGCTCATTATGGGCGCTGTCTTTGCGTTTGGCGGCGGCTGCGATCATGGCCTGGGACTGGTTTCCATTAGCAGGCTGCGCCCCCGCCGCGCTCCCCGGAGCTACGCTCAAAAAGAAGAGCGAGGACAAGGGCTGAATTGATGATATCACCTTGAGCCCGAGGAAGTGAGCGCTCGCAGATTAATGGACTGTGGCTCCGTGTGGAGAACAAAGGATGGAGTGGAAGCAGGAAATGTCGACCTTCCCCACTGATTCATTCAAAAAAGCTTACGTCAGCGATTGGAAAACATTCATTTAAGATTTGATAACCTCGTCCAAGATGAAGATAAGACAAGTCGACACTGTAAATTTTCTGGTCCAACATTTTTTCTGTCACTGAAAACCAGACAAAGAATGAGCTTAAATTATAATGATTATATTTATTATTGATGTTGTATGGCTATTTATACATTAAATGTAGTTTTATACACGAAATAGAGGTTTTCTTATTCTCATGAATTAATGAGGAAAATAGGACTCCCTTGACACACAAATCTTTTTATGGACACGCAGATGAAAGAGTCACGGTGGGGCACTTCATCCAGCATGTGACTTGGCGGCTTTGCATGACATGAGCTCATGCAGTGGAGCTGTGGAAGGGTGAGAAGAACACGAGCAGGGCTGGGGAGCGAGGTAGAACTGGGGTAAAACCTGAAGTTTCAGATCTGAATCATTAAGCTGATTTGCATGTGTGTGAAAGCACATTGGTGCAGGTGAGAAAGAGGGTAAAGGCTCAAAAAAAAAGAAAAAAAAGAAGGGGAAAAAAAGGGGAAGAGAGAGAAGCTGAAGTGGGAGTATGTGAGGAATGAGCGCTTCTCTGATGAATTATTTAAGGCTTCAAATCCTGCCACCCCCCTGGAGGCCTTTCTGTTGAAAGGGGGGGAAGGACGCCGCTCTTGGATGCGAGCACGGCGAAAGCCGTGTGCATTTGGGAGGAGTGATAGCCAACGGTTCTCTCTGAACTACAGGAGGTGATACATATTAGTGCCAGACCGAGACAGATTTATTTTAAGGCGGATGCAGATTCCAATTTTAGGAGGAATACAATTCAGATAACCGATTAAGTGGCAGAGAAATGACAAACACAAATGATGAATAAATAACTTCTTTTTGTTGCCTCAATGCTTACCACAATAAAGATATGAATTACAGGCAGTATTAGCTTGACTTTACAACAGAGAGAAAAATCTGCAAAAATGTGCTGATTTTTTTCTTTCTTTTTTTTTTTTTTGCACATTCTTTTGGGGTGTGGGTGGTGGTGGCTATGTTTGAATTTCATGATCTTTATTTCATTGTGATGTGTTCATGTGAATTACAAAGAGCTAATATCGGCCGGTTGATCGTTCGGGCCGAATACAAATATTAAATTGTGACGTCACAGGAAGTTATCGTGTCAGTGTAACCACTACCGTCAGTCACAAAGCTTTGCTGAGTGAACTATGCTGTGCTTTTTCAAGAGCCGTTGCAAGGCAAGGGAGGAATGAGATTTGCAGTGCGGTACTTGCGCCCCTGCAGCAACCTCCTCAGTCTGCTTCTCAGAGCGAGTCAGAGAAGAAGAGCGCAACTAAAAACTGTAATTGTGTTGAAAAGGTTGCAGTTGATGGTGGACAAGCGATTAGGACTTCGGCCTCACTCCTGAGGTCCAGCTAGCAATGGTATTGTTGTAACAGTCGCAGCCTTGGAAAAAACTCGGTGGTGATCCGACCTGAGAGTGTCTGCTGCGTGACGTAACCCGCGAGAGCCAACCAAAGCAAATCAAATGCACGAATTCTTTATTATGGATGAGCTGTGCCTACCGTCGACATTGTAGACTTTTAATCCGGCCAGGTGCTTGGCGGCACGGTGCTTGGAGGCCGAGAGGAGCGCCGGGTTGTGGAGCGGGAAATCTCGGTAGTAATACTCCAAGACCGTGAGAGCTGCGTTCTGAATACTGCGGGATGTAAAAGAGACATGGCGGCTGGTGATTGACACCAGAAAACATAACGACCTCTGGCAATGCTCCCTGCTGTGTTTGAATGCTTCGAATGTCCTTGAACTCACCTCAGTAGGCGATGGTACACCCTGCCTCAAACGCTGATGGTCACAAATCAAGTCTGGCTTTCTTCATTTTGGGCAGTTGTGTGCTTCCAACTTGGTACACCCTGCCTCATACGCTGATGGTCACAAATCAAGTCTAGCTTTCTTCATTTTGGGCAGTTGTGTGCTTCCAACTTGGTAGGAACACTTTGTTCTGTTTCCCAGGGCCAAAAACAAGCAAGGTGCCGTATACAAAGGCATCTGAGTACCAATGTATTCACCGTATTTTCCGGGGTATGAATCGCAGTTTTTTTTCATAGTTTGGCCGGGGCTGCGACTTATAAAAAGCAAGGTGCCGTATACAAAGGCATCCGAGTACCAATGTATTCACCGTATTTTCCGGGGTATAAATCGCAGTTTTTTTTTCATAGTTTGGCCGGGGGTGTGACTTATACTCTGGAGCGACTCATGTGTGAAATGGTTAACACATTAAACCGCAAGAGGGTGCTCTCGGCCTGTGTTGATACTTTCACATTGTACACATCACATTTTATTTTCACATTAAACCGCAAGAGGGTGCTCTCGGCCTGTGTTGATACTTTCCACGTTGGCGGGAACTGAGAAAAACAACTGACGATGATTCTGACGTAAGCGACGTGGAAGAGGAAGCGCTGCATCTTCTACCTCCGGAGTTGGCGCTGTGACACCGAGCATGAAGATTTCATTGGATTTCGGGATTTGGAGTGACGCTGATGGTTTGGTAAATTTGTTAGCATGTTCTTTGTGGTATAGTTGTCTAAATAACTCTTAATATGTTACGTGAACATACCAGGCACACCCACAGTCCGTTGTTTAAGGCGTTTTTGGCCGAAAAAAAATGACCATGTATAGTAAGGCGTTTTTAGCCGAAATTTTTAGCCTAAAAAAAACGACTATGTGTAGTAAGGCGTTTTTGGCCGAAAAAAACGACCATATATAGTAAGGCGTTTTTAGCCGAAAAAACGACCATGTATAGTCAGGCGTTTTTAGCCGAAAAAACGACCATGTATAGTCAGGCGTTTTTAGCCGAAAAAACGACCATGTATAGTCAGGCGTTTTTAGCCGAAAAAACGACCATGTATAGTCAGGCGTTTTTAGCCGAAAAAACGACCATGTATAGTCAGGCGTTTTTAGCCGAAAAAACGACCATGTATAGTCAGGCGTTTTTAGCCGAAAAAACGACCATGTATAGTCAGGCGTTTTTAGCCGAAAAAACGACCATGTATAGTCAGGCGTTTTTAGCCGAAAAAACGACCATGTATAGTCAGGCGTTTTTAGCCGAAAAAACGACCATGTATAGTCAGGCGTTTTTAGCCGAAAAAACGACCATGTATAGTCAGGCGTTTTTAGCCGAAAAAACGACCATGTATAGTCAGGCGTTTTTAGCCGAAAAAACGACCATGTATAGTCAGGCGTTTTTAGCCGAAAAAACGACCATGTATAGTCAGGCGTTTTTAGCCGAAAAAACGACCATGTATAGTCAGGCGTTTTTAGCCGAAAAAACGACCATGTATAGTCAGGCGTTTTTAGCCGAAAAAACGACCATGTATAGTCAGGCGTTTTTAGCCGAAAAAACGACCATGTATAGTCAGGCGTTTTTAGCCGAAAAAACGACCATGTATAGTCAGGCGTTTTTAGCCGAAAAAACGACCATGTATAGTCAGGCGTTTTTAGCCGAAAAAACGACCATGTATAGTCAGGCGTTTTTAGCCGAAAAAACGACCATGTATAGTCAGGCGTTTTTAGCCGAAAAAACGACCATGTATAGTCAGGCGTTTTTAGCCGAAAAAACGACCATGTATAGTCAGGCGTTTTTAGCCGAAAAAACGACCATGTATAGTCAGGCGTTTTTAGCCGAAAAAACGACCATGTATAGTCAGGCGTTTTTAGCCGAAAAAACGACCATGTATAGTCAGGCGTTTTTAGCCGAAAAAACGACCATGTATAGTCAGGCGTTTTTAGCCGAAAAAACGACCATGTATAGTAAGGCGTTTTTAGCCGAAATTTTTAGCCCAAAGAGACAACCATGTATAGTAAGGCGTTTTTGGCCGAAAAAAACTACCCTGTATAGTAAGGCGTTTTTAGCCGAAAAAAACGACCATGTATAGTAAGGCGTTTTTAGCCCCAAATTTTTCGCCCCAAAAAACTACCATGTAGAGTAAGGCATTTTTGGCCGAAAAAAAACCACCATGTAAGGCGTTTTTCGCCCAAATATTTAGCTCCAAAAAATGACCAGGTATAGTAAGGCGTTTTGAGCCGAAAAAAACGACCATGTATAGAAAGGCGGTTTTAGCCCAAATTTTTAGCCCCAAAAACGACCATGTATGGTAAGGCGTATTTCGCCCAAAAAAATGACCATGTATAGCAAGGCGTTTTTGGCCGAAAAAAACGACCATGTATAGAAAGGCGGTTTTAGCCCAAATTTTTAGCCCCAAAAACGACCATGTATGGTAAGGCGTATTTCGCCCAAAAAAATGACCATGTATAGCAAGGCGTTTTTGGCCGAAAAAAACGACCATGTATAGAAAGGCGGTTTTAGCCCAAATTTTTAGCCCCAAAAACGACCATGTATGGTAAGGCGTATTTCGCCCAAAAAAATGACCATGTATAGCAAGGCGTTTTTGGCCGAAAAAAACGACCATGTATAGAAAGGCGGTTTTAGCCCAAATTTTTAGCCCCAAAAACGACCATGTATGGTAAGGCGTATTTCGCCCAAAAAAATGACCATGTATAGCAAGGCGTTTTTGGCCGAAAAAAACGACCATGTATAGAAAGGCGGTTTTAGCCCAAATTTTTAGCCCCAAAAACGACCATGTATGGTAAGGCGTATTTCGCCCAAAAAAATGACCATGTATAGCAAGGCGTTTTTGGCCGAAAAAAACGACCATGTATAGAAAGGCGGTTTTAGCCCAAATTTTTAGCCCCAAAAACGACCATGTATGGTAAGGCGTATTTCGCCCAAAAAAATGACCATGTATAGCAAGGCGTTTTTGGCCGAAAAAAACGACCATGTATAGAAAGGCGGTTTTAGCCCAAATTTTTAGCCCCAAAAACGACCATGTATGGTAAGGCGTATTTCGCCCAAAAAAATGACCATGTATAGCAAGGCGTTTTTGGCCGAAAAAAACGACCATGTATAGAAAGGCGTTTTTAGCCGAAAAAAACGACCATGTATGGTAAGGCGTATTTCGCCCAAAAAAATGACCATGTATAGAAAGGCATTTTTGGCCGAAAAAAACAACCATGTATAGTAAGGCGTTTTTCGCCGAAAAAAACGACCATGTATAGTAAGGCGTTTTTAGCCAAAAAAAAAGACCATGGATAGTAAGGCGTTTTTAGTCGGAAAAAACGACCATGTATAGTAAGGCGTTTTTAGCCGAAATTTTTAGCCCCAGAAAACGACCATGTATAATAAGGCGTTTTTAGCCCCAAAAAACGACCATGTATAGTAAGGCGTTTTTGGCCGAAAAAAAACGACAATGTAGTAAGGCGTTTTTGGCCGAAATAAATGACCATGTGTCGTCAGGCGTTTTTGGCCGAAAAAAATGACCATGTACAGTAAGGCATTTTTAGCTGAAATTTTTCACCCAAAAAGACCATAAATAGTAAGGCGTTTTTAGCCGAAAAAAACGACCATGTATAGTTAGGCCTTTTTCGCCCAAAAAATGACCATGTATAGTAAGGCATTTTTAGCCGAAAAAAACGACCATGTATAGTAAGGCGTTTTTAGCCAAAAAAAACGAGCATTTATTGGAAGGCGTTTTTATCCAAAACAACAACCATGTATGGTAAGGTGTTCTTAGCCAACATTTCTTGCCCAAAAAAACGACCATGTACAGTAAGGCGTTTTTGGCCGAAAAAAATGACCATGTATAGTAAGGCATTTTTAGCCGAAAAAAGCGACCATGTATAGTAAGGCGTTTTTAGGCAAAATTTTTAGCCCTAAAAAACGACCATGTGTAGGAAGGCGTTTTTGGCCGGTAGTCAGGCGTTTTGGGCCGAAAAAAACAACCACGTATATTAAGCGTCATGTAACGTTAGCATATCGTACACTTATTCAGCCTGTTGTTCTCTAGTTTTATTTTTATTTTAAAATGCCTTTCAAGATGACATGTACAGTATGTTTTTGGTGTTGGATTTAATCAAATAAATTTCCCCCAAAAATGCGATTTTTAATCCAGTGCGACTTATATATGTTTTTCCTTCTTAATTATGCATTTTTTGGCTAGTGCGATTTATAATCCGGAGCGACGTATAATCCGAAAAATACGGTACTCATAAAGTATACCTCATGCCCTCTTTAGTTGTCTCTGACTCACGACATATCCGCACACTCGATTGGATGAGAAACGAAAGTCTGACAGCTGCGTTCACACAACTCCCTCTAGAATATACCGCCTGAGGCAAACTAGAAAAGAAGGCTGACTGACTGGCTTACTAATTCTGCCACTTTCATCTATCTGATATGGGCCTGCGATTACACACACGATATGGGTGAAGGTATAGGGGACACCTGGCCTTTATGTCTTATAGGAAGTGAAAATGGAGGAACATATTGAAGTATGTGAGTGCCTTGCTCACAATGTCTGGCCGACTTCATCCCAGCAGTGGTCCAGTTCTCACACAACTGCCACCAGCCTACTTTTTGTAATTTAGCGTCACCCAAAAAATGTTGAACATCACTTATCATGACTTATTTGTGCCTCTAATCATGATTGACAGGCCTGGCAAATTCCATGCTGCTCAGGGACTGAAAAAGAAGGCTGACTGACTGGCTTACTAGTTCTGCCACTTTCATCTATCTGATATGGGCCTGCGATTACACACACGATATGGGTGAAGGTATAGGGGACACCTGGCCTGTCTTATAGCAATTGAAAATGGAGCAACATATTGAAGTATGTGAGTGCCTGGCTCACAATCTCTGTTCTACTTCATCCCAGCAGTGGTCCAGTTCTCACACAACTGCCACCAGCCTACTTTTTGTAATTTAGCGTCACCCAAAAAATGTTGAACATCACTTATCATGACTTATTGAGACTTATTTGTGCCTCTAATCATGATTGACAGGCCTGGCAAATTCCATGCTGCTCAGGGAAACTGGCTTCGGGTGATGAATTTTCAAAACATTATCAGGGATGCTTCTAAGTCACTTTTGGGGGTTGTCTCCATCTGAATGCACCAATTTCATCAGCATGTATATTCGGGAAAATTGTCAAGTAAAGGAAAGATCCCACTATGGCGAAGAAAGGATTTCAAAACGGCCTTCACAACCAAACATGGCCCTGGACAGCAACAACAGATGTTGTTGCTGGATGAACAACTGACTCGCAAGGCCAACTACTTCCAAACGTTTCTTTCCAGAATCTATTGTGACATCAATGTGTTTCTTCGACAAATGTTTATTGTCATTGCTGAAGTGCACTATGAAGGAGCTTCTATGTACCTGAGCTGTCCGATGTTGTAATGACGCGTCTCTCCGTCGGTTGATCTGATGACGCACACGCTGTAACACGGTCGCAGGTGGCGAAGCTCCAGCAGCACCACGGCCAGATAGTGCACAAAGAGTTGGGAATCCACCAAGGACACGGCGAACTGGACCACACCGTGGTAGTCCTCGTCCTGCAGTGGAGCACACGACACACAGCGCATATTGAACTACACGATTCAAGTCAAATAGTGATTGGTGATGACTGATTCCATCCATTCATCCATTTTCCAAGCCGTTTATCCTCACGAGGGTCGCGGGCATGCTGGAGGGTATTCCAGCCGTCTTCGGGCAATAGGCTGGGGACACCCTGAACTGGTTACCAGCCAATCGCAGGGCACACAGAGACGAACAACCATCCACGCTCACACTCACACCTCGGGAAAATTTAGAGTGTTCAATCAGCCTTTCATGCATGTTTTTGGAATGTGGGAGGAAACCGGAGTACCCAGAGAAAACCCACGCAGGCCCGGGAAGAACATGCAAACTCCACACAGGGAGCTGGAATCGAACCCGGTACCTCTGCACTGTGAGGTCGACGCGCTAGCCACTCACCCATGACTGATTCCTTTCACGATAATTATGGTGACTCCGGATTAACAACTTTATGGACTTTGTAGGTGGAAAAGGCTGGGCACCCTCGTTCCATGCAACAGAACACGTCACTTTTAGAATATTTTTTAAATATATTTTTGAATAATCACATGGCAATTTGTGTGATCAAACATTTTTGAAGTAACTGACCTCAGACTTTTTGCCGATAGCAGCTGCTGTTAAGCTGACTTTTGCTTTGATTTGTGAGCGAAGATTTGAGATATGAGGGCTGTGTGGTGGCAGTCAATTCAACTCACTTGACAACAGGCAGCACATTGTCAGACAGTGAACTGTTCTTCAGAAAAGAGGTTGACGGCATTTCTATTGATTTTAGCATTTGAAAGATGACTCAAGGCGCCACTGTACTTTTATTTGGTTCACATTGGGGCACCATATTGCCTTCACCTGTGCATCAAGGATCCTGACACCGTAGAAGAGCCAGTAGGACATGGTGAGCAGTAGGGTGAGCGTGGTGAGGAAGGCCCGGCACGCACACACTCTCGGCAGGCTGGCGCGGGCTGGCCGGAGAAACAGAGCCCAGATGGCCGTGAGGAGCATGAGGAGCTTGAAGGAGAGGGACAGGAAGAGACCTTCGCAGGCGGCGCCGCAAGGCTGCAGTCTTTCGGGCCACATTATTACGGGCAGGAGGAGGAAGACCAGTGGGGTGGCCAGCACCAGCACACCCCCGCAAAGGCCGACAGCTAAGGGGAGGTAGCGGCGGAAACCTCGGGTCCGGTCCTGTATGCCCTTGCCCAAGCCCACCACTTCCTCCTGGGAAATGCTTAGCTCGGAGGTGCCGGTCACTGCCGTGGTGGTTTCCCCCCAGTTGTCATCCTAGAGGTGAGCAAGACGTCTTCATTTTAGTATTTCAAACATCTTGACTGTGAAATTCTGACCTGAGGGGCTAATACAAGCATTTTAGATCCAGCAGTGCCCCGCTGTTCTTGGGGCATAGAGACCGAGCTCGACAAACTTAGCAAGTAATTGTCGCAAACCCCAATATGGTTTATGATTCAATATGGACGCCACGGGGTGGCGGCAAAGCACTACATGGAGTTCTTCAACTCACTTCGACACAGTTCCTTGGCCCCAAAATGCCACAAGATGGCAGCAAAGCACAACAAGAAGGCCTTCAATACAGACCGGAAGTAAAAAAAAAATGACAAAGTACTTAAATCTGAATGGAATGATTAATGGATGAATTGCATTGACATTTAAAAAGAGAAGGTGGGTGGGTAGTTGTGGGAAAGCATGGGGGGGGGGTAAAAACAACAGCAGAAGATTCTTGAGAGAATGGTGACCACCTCCAAGGTACAAACGATACATTTTCGTACTCTTGGCGGCAAAAAAAAAAAAAAAAAAAAAAAATCTGAATGTTGCTTTTAACTACTTTGAAGACATTTGATTGAGCTATAATTGTGCAAATAAATAAATAAATAAATAAATAAAAATACCTGGACCCATTTTCCCCCCTTCCATTTTTCTGTCTTAAATGTGTTTTTGGGCATGCAGTTAAAATAGATTTCACTCTCGTGTACTATTTACCAACATTTTGTACATTCATAATGAAAAGTCTTCCAAAAATGCTTTGATGTAATGTAGGGCGACAGGCCCACTGGAGGATGCACACGTTGACATCGCGAACACAACACACATAAAAAGATAAACTCTTCCCTCACCCATCACAATATATTAGAGTCATATTCTTTTTCGTTTTCATCCTCTTATCATATCCGCACCACAAACACCTTTAGATTGTCACTCATTCTCATTAGCTATTCGCTGTCCCCTCAGTGTGAAGAAGCACTGAATAATTCTCCCAACACGTGAGCATAGGATAAAAACATGATATGATTACAAGGGTGTCAATTTGGAGTCTGGAATAGAAGAGCGCTGCAAAATGTTGGATGAAAGTCTTCCCACCAATTAAGTCCATGCTCGATGAATTCCTTTATGGTGCGGCAAATGGGGGAAGGGAAAAATGGAGATTTCATGCGTGAATGTGAACGTTGACTACTGTCTGCATGACAGACATAGCGTTTTAAGCAACGGACTCCACATACGCACAGTACAAACATAAAAAAGGAAGCAGACGTTACCACGGAAACCAAGATGCCTATAATAATCAGGCTGCTAAAATGTAGCATCCTAACGCGGTGAAAGTGACATAAAGGGGGTGGAGAATGACATGCAGGCGACAAACCAATGGTAACGAAGCAGTGACATTAAAAAAAAAAAAAAAAAAAATCAGATTCAAGGGCTAGATAAGAACGACATAATCACATTGCTGTATCATATGGCAGTACACCAAAGTATCACGATGCCGCTTTTGTAACTAACATTGTACAGCATCACATTAGGTGTTAAATGTTGCCCACCTCTGCAAACCTTTTTTTTTTTTCAACCAAAGTGTTCATGTGACTAGGTCATGAAGCTGCTAAACAATAACCCTCTGACAGAGCCAATACACTGCCGCCATTAACTCTCCGAGGATTAATCCTTAAGATTATCGCCGCACTAATCAGGCCGCCAGATCGCTACGTTAATGCAAAGAGTGGACAGAAAGGCTCAAGAAGGAATTACTGCAGTGTCAGGCCCAGTCAGATAGTCCACCCTGGCCACTTGCATACAGTCACAAACACAAGCCATAAGCCTCAATGGTGACCTTGGGGGTTAACACGGTATCAGTCACCGCACCTGACAGACAAAAAGCCTTAGTTAATATACACTTGGTTGATATGACAAGACCGGTTCAAAGACGAAGTCGTGATAGATGATTTACTCCAAGTATATTGACATGTTTGTCATCAGAGCAACATAATGTATCAATATACTCTGAGGTATGAGTCTAGTTGATTTTTTGATCACACTTTCAACTCAAAACACCTTTCTCCATTGAAATGAACAAAATTGCCTTAATTCGTTCCAGGCTCCCCCCAAAACAATTTTTTTTGTAAAGTGTTTTTCAGTAAGAAAAACGGAACTCTGTTGTTCATGAAGACATGCAGTAACAACGTATTTAAATGACATGTAAAGAATTTAACAGACATTTTTTTGGCTTCAGTTCAGTGGATTTTTGTGCTGCTCTTTCTGGTGTGCTGGCCTTGGCTGCCTGGAGGCAGCTTAATACATGGACATGGTCACAGCTCCCCATTCAGATAAAGTAATATTTGGAGTTTTTTTCCCCAGAGGAAAGAAAGAAAGAAAGAAAAAGGGATCATCACAATCCAATGTCATACAACTAATTATACAATATTTGGCTGATGATAAGACCGTATGAAACCGCTTATCTGCCCATTATATATCCGGATACCATATCATGAACATACAATCCTTTACTTTTCCTATAAACATAACATGATACCATATTGTATAATTAACAACAGAATACTTAGTTGCACCATATCACTGATGAGACAAAACAGATACTTTGCACTTTCTGAAAATGTATCATGATAGCATCCCATATTGTGAAGACAAAATATCAGGTATTGCAATACCATACAATATTAGATTATTAATAATGCAATACAATACTTTTGTGTATTGATAATAAATCACAATATCCTATCATTAATGATACAATAATTTGCTGAATCAATGTTTTATCCAAGCCCTGCTTCTTAATTGTTTAGTATATGCAAATAAGTAAGGCATGATAGTCCCCGGTCAAAAACAGATTACCGTATGTGATTTCAGTTTAGTTGGAGCCAGCGCTGCCGGGAAACCCAATCTGCTGCCCTCTGGCATCAAGTCACAACGTCCAATGCTCACAAAGCAGCAAGTGACCAGAGCGCCGCTGGCCTCGTGTCAGTGACGCGTGTGTGAACATGGCAGATTATTCCTATCAGCTTTCCTCAAAGTGCCAAAAAACTGATCTAAGGCAGTAAGAATGTGTGACTCCCTCTTTGTGCAGGAGCTCCTTACGTGTGCTGTCGTGTGAAAAAAAAACAAAAAACGGTGAGACCTGCCCAAGGTGATGATGGCACGCCTACTTGCGACTAGCACAGTTTACCGTGCGATGCAGACAAAGGATGGAAAGTGGCGATGGCTATGAGTCATTTGAAATCCGAGGGGTGTGTGTTTTGTCTTGTAGGAGACAGGAGAAAGGAAAAATAGGTAGAAGCGAGGATTTCCTCACAAATTTTGGATGGGTGGACTGGTATTTAAGACCCATAAGGTCGCAACCAAGGTACTGAGCGGCACTTATGACACGAACAAAAAAAACCTAACTGACTACTGGCCCTTCTTAAGCGTCACTAATTATCACCTTATATCTCATCTGTTACCTCGGCACAGATACAGGAGCACTTATGACACGAACAAAAAAAAATGGAGGACATTATCATCTTATATCTCATCTGTTACCTCGGCACAGATACAGGGAGAGAACCTCTGTGACGATAACACAGCGGGCGAGAAGTCATGCCTAATTCCTTTTAAATAAAAGCCAGCAAACAAATCTTGTTGTTCCCTTTCAACCTTTTCATGCACCCTGTAACCCAGTGGTGTCAAACATACGGCCCGTGGGCCGGAACCGGCCCCCAAGGAGGTTCGATCAGGCCCGTGGTGTAAATTAAAAGTGAAAAAATGCATACACGACGCGGAATGAATATTTTTAATAAGATGCAATTCGTGGATTATCCACTAGGTTGTGATGTTTTGATCAGAGAAGAAGACGACAGCGGTCTCATTCTGTCACTGAGACAGACCCAACACAGCAGTAAAAGCAAGCTTCCTAATTGCTAGCGAGATAGCATTAGCATCAAAGCCGTATTCTGACGGTGACTTTGTTGAACAGATTCATGATGAAGGCGGCTGAACTTGTTCATCCCGAGAAGCGACAAGCTTTTGCCAATATTAGCCTTACGAGGAAAATTATACCAGAGAGGATTTCGGACCTATCAGCAGATTTAGACAGCCAATTGAAATAGAGAGTCAGTCATTTTGTCAAATGTTTTGTAAAAGATATGTTGGCTTAATTTCAACATTGTCCTAATATTCTTATGCTTCTTTGTAACAAAACAAAGGAAATACATTATATTTTGGTTATTTACACCAGAGTATGGTGTAATTTTAATGGTCCGGCCGACTTGACATCTACCGAGGCCCTGTGTGGCCCACGATGTGAAATGAGTTTGACACCCCTGCTGTAACCTGATAACATGATAAGCTGTCCACTGTAGTAACCGTTGTGCCTGAAAGGGTTAAAAACAAAACAAAAATCAAGCACTTGCTGGTTATACTGCGTCCCATATACTGTAGCGGTCTTTTCATATATGGGGTTCGAATATACGGGTCAAGCTGCACAAGAGCAACGATAATCCTCTATGATCCCTTGGCATTATTGTATATGTTGCTGAAACGTCAACCTGGATTAAGCAATTGTGATTAAGGCTCACATGGCCACTTTCCGTGAAAGTACCTGGCCCTCTTCACCAGGATCCGCCCCTGGCGAGGGCTCCCCCGGCAGCGGCTCGCCATTGTGCACCGGCGAATCTTGGGAGGACGTCTCCGGGGGATTAATGATGACCGACTTCTCCGAGCGGCTGCTGTCTTTACTGCCGCAGGCCTTGTGACGTTCGCGGCCCCGCTCGCTGAATGGAGGACGAAAAAGATGCCGTGAGGTCAAGGGAACGGCAATGCGCTCACCCGCCGTAACATGGAATGGAGATGCAGAGCTGTCTCAAATTTGGTGACGTATGGCTCGGCTGTTTTAATCCATGGAAGAGTTTCAAGTAACCGTGTGCTGTTCATCGTTGCAATCAGTATTTTCAGGCAGAAATACAAAATAATTAGACAGGAGCTACTCTCATCGAGGGCGATAACATGACGTGTGACTCGTGGTTTGTTGCGTCATGATTTTTCACCCTCTAACAATTCACGTGAGCTTACTTTCAGATGCCACCTAAACAAATTGAGCTGTGTGGTCAACTGCTGATTTATGTGCACCAAGTGAGGAGACAACTGGATTTAAAAAAAGAAAAAAAGGAAAACAGGATTCAGAAAATCATTGAAAAAAAGAGTTGATTATGGAAATATATTCGTTTCATCTTGGAAAAGTAAAGCTTCAACTCCTATCGTTCTCTCATTTGCAAGTCAGACCGAGTGTATCAGTGATTAGAGCCGCCGAGTTGTGACGCCCCCAAATCACATGACTGTCTGTCTACCGCCTCCCGCACTTGACCAACTCCTCAAAGTTATCCTGAGGCCCAAATCAACAAAAGAACTGACAAGAAACTCACCCATGTCGGTTCGACCTCCCCGAGCGGCTGGAGTAGCCCGAGTGGGTCGACTCTGTGTCCATTCCGCTGGCGTTCACGGGGTCGCTTTTCTTTTTGTGGTGGAAGGAGGTGAAACGTTTGGCGGCCGTCCTTGGGAGGACCGGGAGGTTGCTATGGAAACAGGCCTATAAAAGACCTCAGGAATCCACAGCCAATGACTACAACCTTGTACAACTTCGTTGGCAACCGCACTGACCTGAAAAACACACACACACACACACACACACACACACACACACACACACACACACACACACACACACACACACACACACACACACACACGCACACACACATACGCATCACCATCAACACTTGTTAAACTAAAACAAAATACAGTTGCACAACTCCATTTCTTTAGCCTTACATCATCGCTCAAGTCACTTTTCGCTTTCTGTCACAATATCAATAAAATAATTTGCTCAGAATTGTGCTTTTTCTTTGTATCTGCGTAGATTCTGAGTCATGCAGGTCAAGCACTGCAAGAAAATGAAACACTGGATGAATTAAAAAAAAATAAAAAATCAAGTAACCCGTCACACCTAATATTTGAGCTTTGACTCATGTCAATAAAATTTCATGTGACCTGACAGTTTTTAACTTCTTCTAAAAAGAAAATAATTCTCCCAAATCCTGGTTTCAACCCCGAATTTGAAACCCTAACATAAAATCATTTGAAGCCCTAACCCTCACTTGAAAACTTTACCCTGCAAGAAACCTCAACTTGAAACTCAAATTTGAAACCCCAACTTTAAACTGCAATTCTAATTCGAGGACAGTACTTCAAACCCTAATCCTGGTTCGAAACAGTAACTTCACACCTTAACACAATTTTTCCGACTAAGTGTCACTCTAGCACAACAGCCATTGAAGTCCAAATCATCACATCGTGCAGTTGTATTGTCGGGACGCTAAGTGCAATCCATGAAAAGTCCGACAGCATTTAGGTTACGAGCTTAATTCTGACATGTCGACACAAAGGAAATAAATTCGATATAAGGAATAAAAGGCCACAGATGTTTGACTGCGGCAGGCATGAGGTTCAAATGCGCGTTTAATGACGCTCATGTTTTATTCATCTCATGCGGACGCACAGTCATTTCCAACGATCTGTCCAGACTCCAGGCTGTCCTTTCCATTCGCGTACACGGTGATGTCCCGCCGCTTGGTCATCCACGACCATTCATTACGCTGTCGCTCCGATGTTGTCATGGCAACTGCCCGTCTATCACACTACAAGGACAATCTTGCATGTAGGAGATTATTCTCTATGCAGAATGTTCACAAGGTGTCTGTCATATCAATTTTCGACGAGCTCCTTCCCATGAAATCTGACAAACAATCCCGTGCGTTGCTAATATAGGTTAAGAAGTTACATCGGTTTTGAAGGCCCTGGGCAGATTAAATCAACATGGCACCAAATAGGCTGAAATCTGATTGGATGAAAAAAAAAAAAATGAACATCCACATACAAAGACTGGTAGCAGTGCAGCCAAGAGAAACACCATGGAATGAATTGAATAAAACCTCATGAAAGATCTTCTGCGGTGCCACTTCATTACATTTCGTGTCTACGTCTCATCTGGGCTGACATCTGGAGCGTCCACTGTTGCCGCGGCAACGCCGCAAGCCGGGGAACCCAATTAAGCAATAACAATCAATCAGACTGAGAGATGTGCAAGATCGACTCGTTCGTCTGCATGTGAGCAGGCGGCTGTGTGTGTTACCGAGCGCACAATGGCCTCGCATCACGCCCGACGAGCTTTGATGAATAAGATGATGATCTGATTACTAACTGTTAAACCCCGCCTCCCGGGTGCCGGCCTGTGGGCCAGAAGAGGCGGAATGTGGGCCAAGGCGAGAGGTGGCATTGAACCAGGCCATGCGGAAAAAATGGCCGCCACAGGGAAAGACAAACTATCGCTTACAAACTGAGACATTCATATTAATAAGAATGACAAGTGGGACTCCTGATGCACTTCCCGACCTCTGAATGTCAAATTTCTCCCTCCCTCTCTCTCAATCTCTCTCCCCCCGTCCTGTTTCTCTCAAACCACCTCCCCCCTTACAATGCTAGTTTTCCTTTGAGACATTTACAGTAATACGCAGCAAGATGTCCGGTGATGCATGAGTGCGGATGCGCGCGCTCGAGTGCGCCGGGAAGAGAGTGAGGAGCGAGAAAGTGACACTAATGTAAAACAAACACTCATTAGTGCGTTTATTTAGCGGCTGAGGAGCCTCCGTCGTCATGCGTGAGCACATCCGCTCGCCAGGCGGCCTTCCAAAAGACAAAATGCACATTATTTGTATATTATTGTACAACTATTGTGCGCAACAAAGTCCAGATTCGTCAGGTCACATCACGTCTGAGCTGCGATTCAGTGGATACATTTTACATGGAAGGCAATCATTTTGACACCGAGCCATGTGAACAGCGTTTTACCGATAACCATATTGAACAAGAAGTAGATCAGCACCAGCAGAGTGTCCCAATGTTAGACGTGCAGTGCGACCTCTAATGCAAAACCAAAATGATTTTTCACAAAGGAGAAAATGGAAATAATCTGTTCCGGGGTCGAAGAGACAGCAATGTCATTTTGCACACTCTATTTCTTGTCGTACGGAAACGAGCCTGATTTTAAGGCATGCAATTGAGCGACTATATTATATACTGTATCGCATTTTCTGCTGGGTCAAGGATACTCTGACTTTTTTTTTTCATTACACTAAAAACTAGACGATAGCAGCTTCATCTTGCAGAGAGAGAGCGAAAAAAAAGTGGGCATCCATAAAAACATTATAAACACTTTTCCTCATGGAGGGAGCAATTCACACACTACACTGTGTGTATGTGGAACATGAACTGCCCGGGGAAAAATGTTAACCCTCTCGTAGATGAGAGATGAATAACAAGAGATATAATTGAATAAAAAAACGTGCAGGCAAGGAAAGAGTTCAAAAACAACCTGACGGCTACTTTCGAAGAAGCACCTGACTGACTATTAATCCTTTGGGGAAGTCATATGCATATGCAAATGGGGCCCCTCCCCAACCATAGGCATCTTGCTTCATCTCACAGGAAATTGGCAATACAATCACAGAGAGAGAGAGAGAAAGTAACAAGGCCTAATTTTTAATCGGCACACTAAACCAACAGATTACATCAAGTTATAATTCACATCGAATACATTTTATGAGTGCAAAGAAATATATTTTTCTAAAATGGACACATCATCAAATTCAACGAGCCCTAACTTCACCGAGCAATCAAGAACGGGCTGATTTTTGGATGCTAACGCTAAAGTGCTTCTTTCTTGACAGTCGGTGCATGTTTTAGTAGATGAATGAAAATAAAACAATCCAAATGACTGTATGTGAAGCCTCAAAACTGGTCGCAGCTTCCTGTTGCATCGGGAGATGTGCAGGGCTCAATCGGTAAGGAGTGAGGGTTTTTGTTTTTTATTTATTTATTTTTTTAATATGATAGTCCATTCTAGTTTCGATCAGCCACGTCGCATGGCATGATTTTTGGAAAGAGGTGGCCAGGGTAGAATGAGAAAACCTCAGTCTGCAAAGCCAGAACTGAGATTCGACCCCTAATCCTCAGAACTGTGGGGCAGACTTGCGAACCACTAGGAGAACCGGCTGCTTTGTTCAACAGCCAAGACAATAAACCACACTACCTTACATTTGATCACCTGTGCCGATGCATGCTGATGCTGGAGTTTTGTACCTTTTACATAACTAATGCAAAGAAGCCACAGAGGTGCAGCGTCCATTTGAGTTCTGCAGGAACACCATACATGACCCAGTGGGCATCTGATGTCAATTCAACATCAGTATGACATCCAAATCCAATCTTCAACATCAAATTGATGTCGAAATGACGTCACGCACCGTAGCATGGGGGAAAAAAAAAAAAAAACTTTCCTCCATACAGGGAAGCACCAACTTTTGTTTGCGTGGTCACAGCATTAACCACTCGCAACGCCGTGCCTCCTCCATAATACAACAGAAACAAGTTCTAGTTACATTTGGCCTCCAAACAGTGCCAAGTGAGAGTCAGACTGAGGTTTGGAATGTGAGATTCTACTAATGCAATTCCGGCACCTTAAATGACCCGGATCAGCCTCACACTTCATCACATGCTGAAGCCTGGTTGCCATGGCACCTGTAGACCCCCCTCACCCCGCGCCACAACCCTTCATACTTCCGAGAGCATGTGCTGTCTGCTTTCCTTCCTGTAGCATTGATTTCACTGGTCAACAGCAAATTTTAATCAGAGGCGGCTTTATGGGTCCATCAACGCTAATTTTGACGCTGATTTAAAAGAATTAAAAATATAAACAATTAAGTTGGACCTGTCAAAGCTTGCGCAATAGAGATTTTACCTTGTGTTGTGATTTACGTCTTTGACGCTTCAGAAAAACAATTCCACCTGTTGCTGAACCTAACCCTTACTTCCTAAATATTATTAAATACATTATATTATGATTATGATGATGATGATGATGATTATTATTATTCTTAAAACCTGATGTGCTGAAAAAAATTGCTCATTTAGAAATGCGGACTACAGCACGGAGCGGTCAAAAGACAATCACAAGGAACATTTTGAGAGTGATACCAATTCCCATTCACACTCGGGTCATCACTGACTTGAAGCCATGCTGACTATACTGTACCAAAGTCAGAAGACTACACCATCAGAAACCAAGTCAAAGATAAACCTGCTTATTTTTAAAACAAATCAATCAAGCACTGTATTCAAAGATGACTTTTCATGTCCAAAAAATAAATACATTTGAGCAACGGAGGCACATGTGGGATGGTATAACCTCAATTATGCACGTACTGTTCAGGAGAGCAACGGTTAGTGCATTTCTCCGAACAAACCTTAGTCTGAAGCAATCGGTGAAATAAAGACATGTTTGTGACGTGTTTTTAAAATCATTTCAATAAAAGTACATCGCATAGGGCGGGTGAGGGGCGTAAGGGGTGATTGCATGGGGAGGGTCTATTCTCCAGCCACAGGACACAAGCGTGTACAATAGCCCACTCTTCATTAACACCTGCAATACAAATCCTGTCAAGAAGAGGACAAATCACAATGATCCGATTGACCGCCCGGATCAATAATCCACGCGTGGAGGACGTGTGCGTGCATGCGTTTTGCATGCAGGTTGTGTAAAGCAAGGCTTCATCCAGCTGTGCAGACGGCGGCTGCCTGCATTTTTCTTTTATCCGGGGATGGGATGCACCGGATCCTCTATTATCACACACATACAAAACTGTTATAATCTTCTAGATCGTTTTTTTTTAATCGATTTAAAATGGCATTTCGGACGGCGTCAAGTCATCCGAGTCCTTATTTCATGCTCGTCATCGTGTCGCAGGTAAAAAGCCACCCGTGGCTGCGTTCAACTTGAACGAATCGGGAACGTCTCCGCGTGGGTTAGCGGAATCATTAATTGGTGGAACGACGACTGTTTGCGGTTGGTGACGACGACGAGGGTCCTACCTTTCCTCCTCATCGTTCCTTAATCAGGGGCGAAGACGCTATCCTCATTCGAGCGCAGCCATTGTGCTGACAGGAGCGCAAGGCACCATGGAGGAAGCTCCTCTCCTTCTCACACACACGCACGGAGAAGCGCACGCACACGCGGTGGATTCAATTAGGGCGATGTAGCTTTTAGCCGCCAGAGGGCGCCCTTTCAAAGTAGCACAGTTTACTTTAGTTGGACGTCGCAAAAAACGTATCCGGAAGTCCGTTTGCACTCATCGCCGTACTGCGCATGTGTAAAAACAGTCAGAGGACGGTACGCCGTTTATTGGACCGTGTTTGTTGTTGTTTTTACCAGTGGAAATGGGTTTCTAATCTAGACATAAGAGTTACAAATAAATAAATAGATAAATAACAATACAAATTATGTAATTACATATTTTTTAAATCACTGCTGGGTTTTTTTTGCACACAGAAGTTATCATCATAAAAATAGGGCATACATATTATACACGAAACAAAAACATAAAAAAGAAAAACAACCACAAACGCGGGCTACTGGAGTACAAGAAGCAAGAGTTAGCACCCAAATAGAAAACAGAGACCTCGGAATACAGTCAAAGGAGGAATTAAAACACATTAAAAAAAAAATGCTGGATAAATGCCTTACCTGCAAAAATTGACGTTTGTCACAAACAAAATTCAAGTACGCAGACTGTCCTCACTGCTCCGGCCTGTTTGCTATGTAAGTGCATAACTGAGCCGGAGCATGTTTTCCTTCCGTGTACAGTTTAAAGACTGGTGGTCATCTTTACAGCCAGCATTACCGCCATTTACTGACTCGGGTGTGGAATCGATCAGACGTGAATGAGACTTTTCCCTACTGATTGTTGCAAACTTAACTATTAATGAAGTAATCTTTACTCAAAACAGTAAGCACTTTGCATTTTTAAGCATGCAAGTGATTGTGACTGAATAAATACGTGTCATAAAGGCATATTTGTGATAAACAAGAAAGTTTACTTATTTTCGCATGTCAGGGCAACTATGGGATTTTGCAGTGTGTATAGTCAAAAGATTTTAACCCGTAATAGCTCAAACAATTAAGCTTAATGACCCTTGAATGGCCTTCATAACCTTCCCTGTCCCATTCGCGGTCAAATCTGATGTGGTATCATGCCGGCCTCCCTGCAGCCCGCCTACTTTGTGCACAGTGTGTCGACAAAGCGTGTAGTGCTCCTCCTGCTGCTGCTGCTGCTGTGAACATGAAGAATGCCCCCAGCCCCCCAGGCCTCATCACACAGCAGAGACGCACATAATACAGGCACACGAGGAGGAGCGTACTTTGTATAATGCCTGAGACTAATGGAGAAGGTCAACAGTGAGTTCACATCCATAGCCTGATCCTCAGATAAAAGACATCACCGGAATTTGTGGATTAAAATTGTCAAGTATTTAATTTCCGTAAAATGAAAATTTAATGTCAGATGAAGTTTTGTGTGAGGTTTTTCTCCAAGCTTTGTGTGCCTTTTGACTCATTTCATGTGCATGTACATCTGTGTTAGTGTCTCCAGAGAGAAGCTAAAGATGGATGGCGGTCATCTGGAGAAACACCTGCCACCCCCTCTGTAGGGGACACCCCCCCCCCCAAACCATAAAATACGAAGAATTATTTGACAGAACCTCTCAATGGAGCACAATAAATCACATGTGCCGTTTACTGCTAATCAATGCCATTAAAAAAACAAAGCCCAGAGTCTCTAGCTTTGACCTGATGCTCATGGACACTTCATTGGTAGACATACAGTATACTATATTTGACAAAAACAACTAAATACTGAGGGTGGGTAGACTATTTGCATCACAGTTGAGACATTCTGGGTTGAAATTTCAACTTGGGCCTTTCTTCGTGGCACATATTCTCATTTCTAGAAACATGTTAATTTCGTTGACTATCCTGAATGAATCCATATGTGCGAATGTGAATGGTTGTCTTGTGTATTCATGCCTGGTGATTGACTGGCGACACTCGGGTGTACGCCGCCTATCCACTGTTGGGGGAAGAGCGGCCTCCTCTTTCCCGCGTGTTCGTTGAATTTCGGACGAGGAGAATGTTGGTAATCCAAATAAAGGCTGGAGGCGATGAACAGTTCCTACGAAGGCTTTTAATTTATTTCTGCAGTTTACAAATCGATTTTAAGTGTGCCCTACGCACGGTTGCGTGGTTTGTATTTAGGGAGGTGTGACCGTGCTCACGGAACACCAGTGTGCCAACGCGCAGGGGTTGGGAATCACAGATTTTCAGTCATCCATAATTCAAATGTAACATTCTAAAACATCCTTAAAATCTTTCTATACTAATTTTTCATGTCTTTTTTTAAATCATAGTTGCTTGTTATTGCAATACTAGCTCGCCTATATTGCCGGAGATAAATTCCTTGTGTGTTGTACATACTTGGCCAATGAAGATGATTCTGATTCTGAAATATCGTGTCTTCTCTTCAGAAGTGGAAGTATGATATAGTGTCACCAATGTACAAGGTTCAGACCTGGAAGCAGTCATCACATTTTTCTGAAAGCCTCCAAACATTTCACCACAATATCACCTCCTGTGCACATTTGGCCAAGTCACTGTCACCCGAAGAACAGCAGGAGGAACGCAACCTGTTGAACTCCATCGCCTGGCCCCATCCTCCCTCTGGCTCAGCATCACCGGACCTGTCCGACACAAGTGACCCGGCTCACAGCTTGTTCACAATCGTTCCCTCCAAAAACAACCAGCATTGGTACGTGGGCGACTAACTGGAAGTGCAGGTCCAATTGCGTGACTTCAAGGGCCAACCCAAGCGTTACGGCGGTGATTTCCTGTTAGCTCGGTTACACTCCCCAAAGTACAGGGCGGGTGTGGCTGGACAAGTGTTGGACCACGAAAACGGACTTTATTCGGTCCGATTCCCATTGCTGTGGCAGGGCTCGGCTCAGTTTAATGTCATGATGGTGCACTCGAGCGAGGCCGCTACCGTGCTGCGGCGCCTGAGGGAGAAACGGCCCGATCGAGTCTTCTTTGCCAGCATCTTTCGCCATGGGCGTCATTCGGAGAAGACGTTATGCAACATGTGCCTGCCGCCAGACAAGGGGCCACTATGCAACTACACGGACCTTCACTACGGTGAGCAGTGGTACTGCTACAAGCCCAAAGGGCTCGGCTGTGACACCAGATACAACCACTTCATAGAAGGCTACGCCGAAAACCTCATCACCAAAAAGGAGGCTTTGCTCTTTCAGAGGTTTGTGCACATAATAATTGATTGACATGAGAATTTCAAACAGAACTAGCTATTGCTGTTGGAAAGTTCACCTCTACTATTGTTTATATAGAACTTGGTTTCATCCCTGTATGACCTATCATCAAGACCAAGTATTTTATTTTTATTATTTTCCACGCTAAAAGGCGCAATGGATTATGAGGGGCACCTTCAATGAATGGCTTATTTTGTAATTTTTTTCAAATATTGGACGCGCCACATTATAAGACGCAATCTACAATGCATCCACTAGATGGAGCTACACTCATGGAAATGCCAACATAACACTACACCGATTTATATAGCGACGATCAGATGTCAGTAAAACATATTTAATAAAGCAGCGACACAGTTCACTTAACCAACAGCAAGTTATATAACATTGACTCGTTAACGTTGAACTCTCTTGCCGCTGCTCTATTTCCGCGTTCAACTGCGAAACCGATCGCCTTAAGTTTGAACTCTGCGTTGTAAGCATGTCTCTAGCAAGGAGCCATTTTGGGGTTGACATATTACCGTAGTGACCATACACAAGGCCCATCGGATTTTAAGGCGCGCTGTGAGCTTTGAAGAAAATGGAAGGCTTTTTGGTGCGCCTTTTAGTGCGGAAAATACGGTACAATGCACCGATGGGTACTTCCTTTTTCATGGATGACATGCACGATATTCCTTTTGAACACCGTCTCTCGCAAGTGATGGTGGAATCGCATGATTGATATTCCTGTTGCATCCTTTCTAATCCACCTTTCGCTTTTTTTAATGTCAGTGGCAAGAACGTCAAAGTTCCCATCCACGCTTCCACAACAGACTCCATCAATGTGCTGCCTTCTAGTCAAGGTACTGCAGACCTTCAAACGAATGATTCACTTCTTTGGGGGGAAGGGGGGGGGGTGCAATTTCTTCAACATCACTGTGTCTATCATCTATTAAGAAAGGAGCCGTCAAAAACTGGACCCCGTGAAGCTGGCGACGTCTGGGTACTATTACCAGGACTCGTGGAGGCCATTGGGCGGCGTTCCTATGCGCCAGTTTAACAAGGCATCTGCCATCACTCAGTGTTTGACCAACAAATTAGTCTACATGTACGGCGACTCCACTCTGCGCCAGTGGTTCAAGTACTTACTCACTGTACTTCCGGGTGAGCATTTCCATCTCATAACACCTTTTTATCTCAAGTAGGTACACGATAACGCTTTGCATATATTTTAATGGCCGCGACTCAAGTGAGGATAAAGCGTTTCGGACAATGAATGAATGAGGGTTATTTGCTACCATTTTGTGACATCTGGAGAAATCACCTGTCTTTGTATTCTGCCCTGCAGGCTTGAAGAATATCCCCCTGGAGAAAGTCCAAAAGCCGGGGCCCTTTATGGCAGTGGACGTCACCCACAATATTCTGCTCAATTACCGGTTCCATGGCCTACCTCTCCGCATCATGCCCGTCATGATCAACGAGTTGCGCTACATCGCCAACGAGCTGGACGGCCTGACCGGCGGTCCCAACACGGTGGTGACGCTCGGCATCTGGGCTCACTTCAGCACTTTCCCCGTGGAGGTGTACATACAGCGCATTCGGCATATCCGCAAGGCGGTGGTGCGACTCCTGGACCGGTCCCCAGAGATAGTGGTGGTAGTCCGCACGGCCAACCCTCAGGCCCTAAATGAGGTTGAGAGCTTGTTCAAAAGCGACTGGGTGACATTGCAGCAGGACATTGTGTTACGTGCCATGTTCAAGGGTATCAACGTTATGTGGGTGGATGCCTGGCAGATGTGCTTGGCGCACCGCGAACCTCACGACGTACACCCTCCTATGAGCCTTCACTTCGATGGTTAAAAGTGGTAACAGTTGTCCTACTTGCCGTAATGCAACTTGGAAAAATGCATCATTTTTGTCAAATGAATGAGGTTGAAAGTGTGATAGCATACTCGAAGCCTCGACGAAACGGAAAAAAGTGTCAAGTTGTAATTGATGGAATTACAACTTGACATTTTATTTAAAAAAAAAAAAAAAAATTGTGATTTTTTTTAATTTGCGAGAAATTACTGGATATTTTTTCCAATTAAAAAGTATGACTTTATTCTCTGAACAGTATAACTTTGGTTGCACATTCAAGTTTTGATTTGATGACAACAAAATGTTGCATCACTGTAAATAAAACTGATGAAGAAGGCCAACTATTTGATGATAAGTTACGGTAAATATGAGCCTTCACTTCGATGGTTAAAAGTGGTAACAATGTATGCTGCAGCTTGCATTGCAATTCCGGACACACAGATACACACACACACACACACACACACACACACTCCGAATAGCACAGATAAAAAATTGTGGCCCCCTCCAGCATCTCAGTTGCGCATCCCTGAAACAATGGCTTAAAGATAAATTACACTTGATGGCTGGTGGATTTAGCTGGTGCTGTAAGAGGTATAAAAAGCGGCATCGCAGTTTGTTTCGTGAGTTAAAACACTCACTTTGTCGTCAGCCCAATGGTGAGTTATGTTTGTACCGCTTTTCTTGTCTTTTATCAGATATGTAGCCGCATCGCAATCAGTCAGTTACTGTTCGCGATCGTCACTTTACACAGCGTGGGCAAAAGTCTGCAATCACAGTGATGTCTATTTAGTTCGTTTTTTGCACAGTTGTCATATTTATCCGGTTGCACTGCAATGTTTAAACTAAGTAATTTGCGTTACAGCTGGGGTTAATCATACCGGCGCTTCACTTCCGGGTTTGACCGCTGGGACTTGTAGTCCTTTTGTTCGATTCCACTTGATATGTTTGTAGGGTATGGTTTCCTACGTTTAGAATAATGATGACGATATAGTGCATAGTGTGAAATCGTGGTTGGTAAAATCATTTATTAAACTTATTATGAAATGAAGGTATTAATTAATGTCAATTATATACATATTTGCATTGTAATGCAGAAAGCTAGATATGTATATTTTTATTGCATTTATGTGTACTGTAGGTTAACCTGCTACTGCTATTGCCACTGATTGTGCTACTGCTACTGCTTCTGCTACTTCTGCTTCTGCAAAGTGCTTCAGTAAATGATCAAAAAAGTCCAGAGCGAGTACGGTAATCCTTCCGTGCTGACTGACGATCCCTATTCAGAGGACCGTGAAAAACGGAAATAACTGAACAATGGCTGTAGGGGGAGCCGCGGAGCTAAAAATCATCTTATCCTTGTGCATAGACTTGATTTAGACAAGTAAAACAGTTATTACTTCCCCTCGCAGCTGTATTGCACCCACTTAACATTTGTTATTGAACCAGTCAAGCGTGTATTCCACTTGCAGACCAAGGAGACGATTGACTTTGGATGCTGACAATGAAACTTAAGTGCTTCTCAGAGTTCGGCTCGCCTTCACGGTTCAGTGCAAATCGTTTCATCACTTTGAGGCCCGCAAGAGATTTTTGGCAGTGCGACTCTCACGATGCTGACAAACATGTAATAGCTTGATGAACTGCACGTGGAAAGGAAAGCACGAGAGGAAGTGGGTGGAAATGCATCCCGATCACATTTCCTGTTAAGATACGGCAGTTAAGGGATACTTGTGAGTGTACATGGATGTGTAGAATAAGGCATCAGTCCAGATCATCAATGAAAGAAAAGAGAAAATACATTTGGATTAAAAAAAAAAAGAAGCACTTGCCCTCACTTAAACAAAGCGGCTTGACACCAAAATGCCAGCAGGTAGCGCCAAAGCAATGTTTCTATATGCGTCATGACTGGCAAGAGCACAGAAAGGAAAAAAAAAGAGAGGTTCTATTTTCATTTTTCAAATCCTTTATGGCGCGCAGCGAAACATTGTGCTGAGGCGGGTTGGATCCGATGTTGGTAATTTCGCAGACTGGCAAATGCGGACGGAACTGCCGACTTCAATCATGGCCAATCAAAGTGGCTCCTTTCATTCGCCGTTGCGCAAGATGCGCACAAGAGTCCTGGCATGGCGGCGGAAGCACAAATGTGTCGTGAAGTGGGCACTTGACATCCTGACGATTTTATCACAATTTAATGAGCTACCTAAAAGCCCACACAGGCATGGGCAGAACATGCAAACTCCACACAGGAAGGCAGGAATCGAACCCTGCACCTCTGCACTGTGAGGCGGACGTGCTAACCTGTCTACGACCTTGCCAACCCTAACTAAAAATAATTACATTCCAAATGAGTTAAGATGAGTCGCACTTTTGAACTTTGTCACAATCACACCATTGCCTTGCAAACAAATTTTTTTGTAAAGGCAAACTTTGATATATCTCGGATACTGACTGACTCTCATTCGGTTGCACGCGGGTGGGTGCACTTGAATGTTTCCTTGACTCACATGGCTGTTTAGCAGTGTCTCCAATAGCAAACAGTGCCGTCTTAAAGGTCACTGTTAAATTGTAATGCTTTGTTTACATGCGCTCTTTACAGTGACATTTTGTTGCTGTTTGCATGCTTCAAAAATACGTATGTTTAGTCACCATGTTTAGTTTACACAAAAGCCAAAACACATGAGTCCTAATGGCACCAACGCATCAACGCGTGTTGTAAAAAAAAACCCACCATCACCACAACCAACACCAAGTTTGCTCAGTGTCACTAAAAGCACTCGGTCTCAAAACCAGAGTAAAAAATAAAACAAAGAAGAAACAAAATGAAAAAGAATCATACCAACAAAAATAGGTACTTTTACATTTGCAATCTTCATTTTACTGCAAACAAATCACCATTGCGCAATATCATGAGGTCCTATTTAAAAGCTGTATTTCAAGACCTGATTGAACAATATTTTGGATGATTGTGGTTGTAAATTGCATTGGTGAGGAACTTCATAACATCACACTAACAGTAGTTTGCCATATACAGTATCTCAAATATATAGCACAATGCATAGCACGTGGATAAGTCTGCTGAATTGATTCACCTGTCAGTGACATTGATTGTGATGAGACGTCGCAGTTTCACGGTAAGACATCGCATCAACATTCCCAAGTGTAAATATTTTCTGATCTAAAGGGTCTTCAAAAATGTAACTTTTTGAGGCCAAATTCTATTTTTCTGGTAAATATAGTTGAAATGGGAAATTTTTATTTTCCTTAGCCCAATGCCTCCTTTTGTAACCAACTATAGTTTTTAATAGAATAGATTTCCAGTGGGCAATAGCAGTAGCAAAATATAACATTTAGAGGTCATCTATTGTATTTTTGTGGACACATATTGCACTTTTGCAGACTTCACCCAGAGTTAAGTAAATTAGAGAGTTAAATGAGATGACATGATCATTTATCATTTCAGTGACATTTATTTTGGTGGTGCGCTGTGAGGTTTTTCTGATTTTGACAAGATGTGCTTTGGCTCAACAAAGGCTGGGAAACATGTGGCCTAGCCCACCCCTGCGCAAATCGCCTACCTCAGAGTTGAGAGACTCTGGATTCATATCTCAAGTCAGGCCTTTCTGTGTGGGGTTTTCCGGTTGTCCCCGTACTTCCATCCAACCATACATTTTCTAATCTGCTTATCCTCACGAGGGTCGCGGGGCGTGCTGGCTTTGGGCAGTAGGTAGCGTACACCCTGAACTGGTTGCCAATCACAGGGCACACAATGACAAACCAGTCGGGCTCACAATCACACCAAGGGACAATTTCGAGGGTCCCATTAACCTGCCATGCACGTTTTTGGAATGTGGGAGGAAACAGGAGCACCCGGAGAAAACCCCACGGACATGCAAACTCCACACTGGAAGGCCGGAGCTAGAATCAAACCCTGTACCTCTGCACTGTGAGGTGGATGAGCGAACCAGTTTACCACCGTGCCACCTGTCTACGTACTCGCGTGTGGTTTCTCCATCCTTCTTTCCACATTCCCAAAACATGCATATCAAGTTCATTAAAAATTCAAAATAGTCCATAGTTATGAATAGGAGTGTGAAGTTTTGTTTTTGTGGGGGTTGGGGGGCAAAAGTGTAGACTCAAGTTACCCAGTTGAGGACGAGCGCGATAGAAAATGGCCGGATATAGAGAGAAAATTGTAGATTGTAGTTGATACAGCTTGCTAAACAGATCAACATGGATGCACGTTTCCAAACGTCCACAAGATGTCCCTACATCAAACATTTCATCTATTCTCAGAAACTCAGCCTGAAGTGCCAAGGGAAACCTGCATGCCTTTTTTCGAGCCCCTTTTCTGCATGACATCCTGCAATCGACAACTGTGGTGGCATGCAACAGATCCCCTTTAGACGAGTCTCCCCCGCGTCATTCATGCGGACACTGTGACGCAATAAATGTGAAACATGCCAGTGAGGACACCAACAAAACCCATGTGTTGAAAGCATAGCTCGGAGGAAAACACATGCCTCGCCATCCACTATGACTATGCAATGCCGGAGTGTGTGTTGTTAAAACATATCGTCATGAACAGCATATTTGTTGTACATCTTGAACAGTCCGGCCATTACATCGACGGCTTCCCCAATCATGCCCTCCCTGACACAGAGGGCTAAGTATTGGCGCGCTTGCACAAAGGTAGCACGCTAATATGAAGCAGACGCACAATTGCTGCAGGATAGATGGCACATGCGAGGGATTTGACTTCCAGATGTGTGCCAGCCCGTGTTTTGCCTTTGATGCGCTCGCCTTTTTTCCTTTGTGAGCGCCCTCCAACTTAATTCACATGAAATGGCAGCAGTCATGCAAAAGAGATGCAGAGCTCGCCTTGGGCTTCATGTGGTTTGTATATGCGTCCAGGAAAACACACGCACGCACGCACGCACGCACGCACGCACGCATGCACACACACAAAATTAATAACCACCAGTGGATGAAAACGGGAAGTA